TTGGTTTGACATTCCTAGATCTTTGAGATTCATTAAACTTTTCAAAGGCAAGTTTAAATCTCGATTATGCCCTTCAAGTTTGTGACTGGGATGCTGAGGATCACAAACAAGGTGTGAATAACCATGCAAATTAACTTGCTACACCCAATGTTACATATCACCTAATCAATGTGCCGGTTAACGACACGCACTCCATTGATCTATGATTAACACCAAGCTACCCTTTGCCACACATTGTCAGTCCCATATTAGTGTGTCGGTTAACCACATGCACTCCACTAACGACTTAACAAGGTGAAAAGTGTAATTTCATGGATTAGCACCATTTTCACATTTTTCCTAAAGTAACTAAGATTGGGAATTTAATAAAAGTTTAGTTACTTTATATTTATCATTATACTTTTAATGAGGAAGAATTCGTGTCCTATCCTACCCGTTCGGCTAACAACCCTCCACCGGTCAAGGAAGCGGTGGGTAAGAGTGGACACCCATTAAACCACCATTTTATAGGCAGTAACCTTATACCCCTTATAGACCGGCTTCGTGAATGAGGCCTACTAACGGTAAGACTGACTTGTTCTTATACATACATACATATATATATATATATATGTGTGTGTGTGTGTGTGTGTGTATTATCAAAATTAGTATATTATAAAGTATAAGGGTTGAATTTTAAATTTTAAAACTCTAGGGTTTGGAATGAAAGTTTCATTTAATGAGACTTTGAAAATTCCAAAACTTGAAGGCAAGTTTTGAAACTTGTCAAAACTCTTCACATTCATAACTTATGAGTTTAATTGGATTTTAATGAAGAGACCTTTCATTTTCAATAACTTGAGGACAAGTTATGGAGGTCATTAAAACTCAATTATATCATATTCTAAGAACAAAAATTATCACATAATTTATGATCTAACTTATCTCATAATCAAGATAATTTCAAGTCAACAATTTAAAACAACTTTGTTTATCATATAAAACAATAATTTTTTTAAAACTTTGACAATTATCTTGTGGTTGGATGAGTACTAGCACTACGATATCAAATAAACATTTCCAATGAGCCAAAACAGTTTTTAGTAGTGTTCCAAATCCAAACCAGGCCAAGAAACTCAAAATTTTGTAACAAAGCCTTCAACTTGTCGAGTGCATGAACTGACTCTCCGAGATTCCTTGTTTACTGATTGGACTCATCGAGTCTGTTCATGGACTCAGCGAGTTCACCTGTCAGAGGCCAAAATTTCAACTTTTTTTAGCTTTGAAAAAGTAGTAAGCATTAAATATAATAGAAATCAATCCTAGGCTCTGATACCACTGTTGGGTTTTGAGCACTGTAACACTCCTATGGTGCACATGCAACCCTAAGTGCTTTGGATCTATGTTTTCTCTAATTATACATGCATTTTATTTTTCCAAAGCATTCACCCTAGCTAGCATACAACTAAAGCTATATAATATAAAACTTATTTTGGATGCTTACCTCTTGAGTAGTATAGTTATTGACCTTTGAAAGCTTGAGAACCTCAAGTGTGATGCCTCTAATTGTTCACAAATACCAATATGCAAGAGGAGGCTTTAACAGGATAAGTTAATTGTCTCAAAAAATGGTATAACATATTTTAGTTTATGAGGGTTCTATTTATAGTGTGGCAAATGCTAGGGTTACACTTTGTAAACCCTAATGCTCCATGACTTTTCACATTCCTATGCTCCATGGGTTTAACCTCCATGGACTATCCATGGATGATCTTATTGGTTTTACCCGTCTACATAATCATGGATCATTAGCCCACACAATAAAAACATTGATTTACATAATCAATCCCCATATATTTAATTAGTCTGTTTTGACCACAAAATTAATTGCAAAGAAATTCTTGGATAATACTAATTAACTAAATCCAATAGTATCTTATAGCTAGTAGACTAGACATCATGTTTTCTGTTTGTTATTGTGCAAGGTTCCTAGAAAATCCACGCGAACCTCACATGGTGGCCGTGAAGAACATCTTTAGGTACCTAAAACGAACCTCCTCGCTTGTCATATGGTATCCAGCAAACTCAAGCTTCTTCTTACAAGCGTTTTCAGATGTTAGCCTTGGAGGATGTGTATTAGATAGAAAGAGTACAACTGTAGGATGCCAATTTCTCGATGGCAAACTTGATAGTTGGTAATCAAAGAAGCAAACGTGTGTATCCTTGTCAACAGCTGAAGCTGAATATATAGTTGCTGCCTTATGTACATCCCAGGTCATTTAGATTCAAAGCCAGCTTCATGACTATGGATTAAGTATGAAACGAATCCATTATACTATGACTTCGAAAGTGCCATTCATATTTGTCACAACCCAATGCAACACTCAAAGACGAAACACATAGCACTGAGGTATCACTTCATCAAGGATCATGTGGAAGATGGCAATGTTGAAATACACTTGGTAAGATCCGCTGATCAGTTAGCTGACATATTCACAAAGGCCCTACCTAAAACAACATTTAATAGAATTCCTCAAGGGCTAGGAATGATGGAAGTTGAATCCGTTCTGAAACCAATTTCTCATTCATAAATTTATCGCTGTGAATCGGTGCGAACGCTTGCAATAATTTGTAGTCTACTGGTCATTTGAAGTCTATTTTATCACTATGAATCGGTGCCAATGTTTGTGGTAATTCGCAATCCACTGTTCATTCGTGGTTCGGGTTTTCTAATATCCTTTTGTACATTGTGTATAATGTTACTTATTTTTGTTTCGTTTTTAAATCTTTTCTGTTTTAAATTATTTTTCAGAAAATTTCAAAACTCCAAAAATAGTTTATGTATTTCTACTTTATTTTTTTTTATTTTTCTTCGTTTAATTTTTTTTAAAACCAAAAAAACAAAAATACTTTGTTTGTGTTTATTTTTATTTCTTTTATTTTCACAAATCATAAAACATCAAAAATATCTTAGAGACACAAGAAGATCATGGAGGAACATGTTCGTAACATCTACTAATTCACGTGAAGGGGCAAGTATAAATCTTTTCAACTATGTACTAGCTAAGTGTCCCTTGAAGCATGTTGGTGCATGTTGTCTCAAGCCTCCACGACTATATGTTGAAGCCTTAATGAATTGATTCTACCAATCGATTCTTCCCAATCAGGCTGCGAATTCACATAAGTCATGAGCTACCTCACTTTTCTCACTTTTAGTTAAGAGTTGCCTGCATGGTCACTTTCGTATTGCAGAGGTACATTTGTTTCTTTTAAAGCATTTATACATTTCTCCATCACTTTCACATCCATGATTGCAACCCTTGAGACTCTCAGAAATTACCACTGTTGTTTATGGTTGCACAACATCACTTAGTTCAACCACGAACTAAGTGAAACCCATAATTCAATACACTTTATGAATTGACGGTGAACACTTAAATGTTCTAGAGTTTTCACTAAGGAATTAATGAAAGTCCCCTTTCGTGGTCTGTACAAGGAAGTCTATTTTTCTTTTGCGAAGATCCTTGTGATTTTCAAAAGTATGGTTCGTGGTACTCACTGTTCTTTTCAGATTCGTAGTTCAACCAAAGTTTTCTAGAAACGAACGTTCATACGGAATGGATCAATTAAAACCTAACTGCGAAAGGGAAAAGCTGACACGACAATTTCCTGTGGATAAGAATTCAAATGGGCACGTGAAATTTTGAACGGACGTCTACTTTATCTCCGTATGATGCATGGATCTGCCATAACAGTTGTCAAGTCGTGCTTTTTGAGGCGACATTTCAGTAATCGATGCAACCTCTCTCTGGATTTTCCTCACAAATCGAACGGTATAAATGGATTTTGATGACTCTTCACTTTTTACCACTCACAAATCCTCTAAATGATTTTCGGGGATCAAAGTGCTCTACTGTTCATCTTCTTTCTCAAGTAATCAACAATGACAGGTTCCTCTGAAAATCTCTCCGTTCGAGATCCAATTGCACACTCTTCAATACTTGCTATTAAGCAACATCAAAACTTGGTGATCGATCTTGATCCGTGCAAGTATGACAGCTTTATGCTTTTGATTGTTGAGTGTCTCAAATACTCTCTGTTGACTGTTGGACTCACCAAGATGGAAAACGTCCCGATGTCGCTTTTATCTAAAGCTTATTCTTCTACAAACTACATCAAGGAAGAACAGAGGATTACATTTGAGATCCGCAATCGCATCACTTCTATCACCAAAACTCGATTCTGTTCACTTCTAGGGCTTACTTAATCAGACGACATGATTAACCCTGAAGCAGTGTCTAGGGCTGCTCTTCTGGAGATGTTTTACCAAATGGGCTACAAAGAAACCCTAACCGCCATCTCGATATTCCAGAAACCTAATCTTCCACCCCAATGGAATGGCCTTTTCACTTTATTGTTCAAAGCTTTTTCTGAAAGAGTGACTGGATCAGATTGCGCCAGCATGCTATTCGTTGCAATTCTTTATGGTGTTTACACACGGTTGAATGTCGGTTTTTGGTCAGTTCTATGGGCTCAACTTATTCAAAGCATCCACTCTACCACACGTCACAGTAAAATCTCATGTGCACGTTTCTGGACCATCATCGTCCAAAGGGCTATTGACAAACTTAAAATTCCACTGATGCAAGATGTGATGGTGGTGTCCATTTCTACTTTTCACACCACATGGATCATTCTTTATGATACTTCTAAAATTTCTTTCATTAGATCAAGCCCGGAGGCAATGTTTTGTGATGTGCATGTGGCTAGCAAGATCTTAGAGGGATAAAGGAAACTAGTTGTTTCAGGGTTTCGTCCCTTGACTCCAGAAATGCAAGGGATTATTGTTGAGGCAGACCCAAGAGGGGGGCCAAAAGGATGGGAAGAAGGGAGAAAAGAAACAATCTGATAAGGAAGGTCCGTCTGCACCTGCGAAACCGCCCACAAAGAGAAAGGCACCAACTGGCACTTTTGCAGCTGCTCCCAAAAAGCGAAAAATAAAACAACCCGCTCGCAAGCGCATGTCCCCTGCTCCAACTCCTACTCCAAGAGAAAGTGAACATTCGGAGTCTAAGACTCAGTCAGACATTCGTATTGAGGAGCAAGAGACCGTTCACAACGAAGAAGAGACATCAAATCCTGAAGTAACCCAAACTCATAATGATTTCGTTCCATCTCCTCCTCCTTCCCCTAAAACCACCACTACACCAATCACTATCACACCCTGCCCTCCACCAGTTACTTCTCAACCACAAACAAGTGCTCCTCTTTCTACTCCACTAATTTTTGATTCTATAATCCCACCAACCACCTCAGCTGAGCCTCTTGTTTTGGTCAACGCATCTGATGCGGGGGCAAAAACTTTAGGTTTCTCAACTCATGTCTCACCACCTATTTCCCCTCTTCGCCAAGATGATCCTGACATGATCTTTGGTGATGAAGAAGAAGAAGATCTTGGAGGATTCACCTACAGTCCCTTTCAAATAACGACTGAAAGTGAAGATGAGACTCTAGTTACGAAAGGGCAACTCAAGTCCTTACATGATAATATTGACCAACTGCTTCTGTCTACCAAGGCGTCCTCTTCTGAGTCCTACTCCAAAGCAGCAGTCAATTCACTTTTCGGGACCCTCACGAAGGAGCATTCAGACAACATCGAAAAGATGAACAAATCAGTCGATGCTTCTGCTGAAGTCTGGAAGACAATGACCGAAAAAGTCGATAAACTAACTTCTGATACTACTTTCTTCATGGAGAATTTTCAATCCTCCTTTGACTCAAATACACCAAAGGCCAATGAAGCTCTTTCTGGCCTAGGTTCTCTCTTCAAAGCAAAGAAGACGAAACTGCCAGAGGTTCGCAATGGTCTTAAAACTTACCATGAAGCGTTCCAATCCTCTATCTCTTCTCAAATTACCAAGCTTCAAGATGAACTTGCAACGGAAAGTAAAATCATGGACTCTCTTGATATCAAGACGGAGAAAGTAAAAGTGTTAAACGTTAAACTTGAAGCCGCTGAGATACAAGTCAATGATCTGTTATCCGAGAGAGTTGTTATGAGAAGCTGTATCACTAATGTTATAGGCTTACTCTCGGATATCATTGAGACCAGAGATCCAATGATCACTATCATAGCAAGGAAGCATCTTGCAGAGAAGTTGAGACCAGTCTTCGCAATGCTTCATAGGCTGGAGGGTGTTTCGGATCAAGGCATTATTCCGAAATAAAGAGGAGAAGGTATATCCAAGAAAAATGATCCCAAAGCTCCAGCTAAGCCTATTGTCAAAGAGGAACCTGAGCCTAAGGGTAAAGGAAAACTTTTCAGTGAAGAACCTATAAATGATAATAGTGAAATTGAAGAGCTGGATGAAAATGAGCTTAAAAAGCGGAAGGCTCATGAAGCTTAAATGGATAAGCACCAACGAATCATCCAAGAGGCTGAAGAAAGGTGAAAGCTAAGAAAGAAGCTCAAGTCACTCTGGAAAGCAGAAAGCTTTTATTTCTTTAGTGGACTTTGAAGTGAATCCAACATGAATTTGTTGACTTACCCAGCCAATATTGGTTAGATCCAGTTTTGTGTTGTTTAAACTTCAAAACACACAAGACTCGCAACTAGATCTACTACTCACTCCAAAGGCCTTCAAGTTTCGATCTTTTGTGAAAGTTGTGAACGCTCCATCCACAGACAGCGGAGCTGATCATATGCTTTTCTCGTACTATCTAAAGCACATGAAGCCACAATATGAAATGTGGTATAAATACCGTGAAGGTCACGGGACTAATCAAAACTGACAGCTTCCCAAACGTGAAGTTCAAAGTGGAGAGAGGTTCAATCAACCAGGTTTATGAATTCACACTCGTAGACTTGCCTTGTCTTAACCCCTATGACTGGATCGTGCTCTATAACATGTTGCTGAAAGATGAAATGAAATATGAACCTGTTATTTCCCATCTCAAATTGATGATAATGTCTTACATTCAAGAGATTGGTGAAATGGATGTAGAGATAGACACTGTACTTTGAAAGAGGGCATTTGTTGTTCCTAAGGAAGCTCCAAAGGATTTTGAAAAAGTTGAAGCCACGAAAGATCTACAAGGATAGATGGTATGTGGTGTACCAGGCTAGGGAATGAAATGACAGAGACTTTTTAAGGCCTATTTCTTTCTTCCTGATAAACATAGATACACAACATCCTATCTTGAGTTTATATTAGACTTGGTCAATAAATTCAAGGGCAATAGAAACGATGACATAAAGTGCTTATGTGACATGGTCCTATGATACATTCAAGTTCGCTAGGTACTATTGAGCTTCATTCCAAATATTTTACGAAGTACATAAGCGAATTCAAGGATAATGGACTTTCACCTTATAATTGACGCAAAGGGGCAGATTGTTGGGTATAATATGTTGCGTCATTGGACTTTTTGTATAGTCTGTTTTGTAAACAGGTTGGGCCTATCCTCTTGTATTTAATTCTAGGGTTAGTTATTTATGGTGCTTGCATGCATCATATTTTAGCAACTCTGATTTTTATCTTGTAATCCTAATCACGCCTCTACAGTAGCAATTATTTGTCAAGTTCTTCTGAGGTGTGACCTTTAATCATTCAACATATTTTGGATCATCGTTGTGTTCTTGCTTTTCATCTGTTTGAATCTAAACGATCTTTTAAGGATTTTCATCCTAACATTCCTTGTTTGTCTACAAGCGTTTCATGATGTTAGAAGCAATTATGATAGGGGAGTTTCTGAGGTATACATCTGAGATTCAGAATCTCTTTGATTTTGCTTGATCTTCATCTGGATGACCATCGTGTATTGTGTTATACATTCCAAAGGTATAGGATGATATGTATATGGTTGAGTCGGTTTGAGACTTGGTTTGTTTTCAATGCTAGTTAGTGGTAGTTCGAACCCTAAGTGCGGCGTAACTGGGTATTATGCTTGTAGGATCATCTATCTGTTATATTTTATGGTTTTAGAAGAATGGGCCATAGGTATCTGCGGTGTGGGTATGCGATATTTGGTGAAAAAAAGGTGTAGGGGAAGTTGTCATCAAATGTACGTGCTCAGGAATGCATGAGTTGTCTTCATGGGATGAGGCTATTAACACGGAGCTTGTTGTATCCACTGGTTCCTTTCAAGATTGACGATGAATAGTGCAAGAGGTGTTTGGGTCACTCAGGTCTAGAATCGGTTGTTGAGGGATTTGTTAGCTTAGTATATAGATTGCTATCTATAATCTAGGATGGGTAGTTATTGGTCGGTAAATCAGCTTCAGAGTTAGGCATGCTTAATTCCACATGAGTTTTGTTCAGTAGTGTAATGGATCATTGGATTAGTTGTCAATGCATTCTCGATTATTGGTCATTTCATTTATTGTCAATAGTTAAGGTTTTTTGAAAGTTTTGATCTTTATCAGTTGAAGTTCATTGGACGCGTTAACCTATTTGTACATTATACATTTTGGTTTCTGGGTATGAGTACCTTAATTTGCTAGTTATGGACGTTGGAGCTGTTTTGTTTAGTTTTTCATGTGTGGCTTTGGATCTATGCAAAATCCAATTATAGCATGTTATTTTGGTAAGGTTGGTATTTGGATTGATCCAACCAGGGTATTGACAACATTTCAGAATAAACTTGGAAGCTTTATCGAGCGAGTTATGTATTGACGGGGTTTGTTCAGTTTCAATCGAGGTATGGGATATTGTGTCGATCTTTCATGAGGATGTTTCATTTAACGGTTGAGTTTTATCATTTTGTTAGATCTGCTAGCACTTCACCTGTTGGTTAAGGTTGTGAGGTTGAAGGAATATAGTAGATTTAGAGTTGGTTATGTGTCTCCCCTTGGGGGTGTAGATTGTGGTAGTGCCTCAAATATTGTCTTGAATGGTATATATTGACTATGTAAGATAACATGAAAACACTTTGTCCAAATTTATTAGTATGGATCTATTGTTGTTTATAGCTTCTGTATTGGAACAAAAGTACATCCGCCAATCTCATCCTCTGGTTTTGTTCGACAATGTTTTCGTCTAATTTTGCATTGGTAACAACCTGTATTGTAAAAGGAATCGTGCGTGATAAAAGGGTATGGCATGTTTTGCGCCTGGTTAGCATTAACAGAGGTGTTGATTGGGTCCTTGCAAGTTGCTGGATTGATGGTTGAAGTACCTTTAACCGTTGTGGTGTTAGTCGCAAGTCTCCAGGCCACTGATGGAATGATGGCAAGATTGGCATGATACCGTGAGTTTATCATTTTAATGGTTAGAAGTGTCACGATATATCATGAACCAGTGGTTGTATGATTCATATAGGTGGGACCCATTAGTCATTTGATTGAGACTCTTAGGTCTCAGATCGTTAGTCTTATTAGCATGTTTGGGTGTTGGTTCTTTGTTAGGAGCCATGATACTAAGTGACCAACTAGCTTGGATCATGCGGACAGTAAATGTTGGTTAGAAGTATTAACTATGCATCATAAGTCTCCTATTGAATGTGTATGTTATAACCACGTTGCGTGTAGGCTGTTTATTAGGAGTTGGTTACCAATGTTGAGTGTCGGTTCTGATATCTCGAGTGATGAAGTTCATTGGAAATGTCTCGAGTGATATGTCAGGTGGAGGTACATCTGAGCTGATAAGGGATTTGGATGCAACGTGAAATTCTTGGATGGACCATCATTATGCACTTGGGAATAATGGGCTGATGATTACTTTGCAGGAAGTCAAGTGTGTATTTAAGGTTTTTGGGCACAATTTTGGATTTGGGATTGTGAAAATTCACAATAGCTGTCTTTTAAGTAGTCTTTCTACATGATTTGGTGGTGTTCCTAGTCAAGGACTAGGGGTTGGTACGACATATGGACGATCGTCAGTCATAGAGTATGATTTTTGAAGTTTAGATTGATGGGTTCTCGGTTCTTGGAAGTATATCGATTGAGTTGATTTGTGGTTGTAGTTTTGAGAGTTCCATGTATGAGTGGTTCTCTAAGGAAGTTGGGTCTTCTAGTTCTCGTTGATGTTGCGTATTTTAAGTTATTTGGTTGTTTGTTAGCAGATGTGGGTTTCCGAGTGATCTCTCGACTTCTCTGTATAGGTACCTTGATTTAGAAAGGGTTATAGATCTTGTGACAATCCAAAACTTTTTCCGTTATCTTTACCCGATTTCCATTAATAAAATTTGGGTTTTTATTGAATTCCGTCAAATTCCTTGATTTGGGAAAGACTTTATGTTTAAAAAAATAATATGTATTTTATACGAGTCGGAATAAACCGGAAATCGCACGAAAAACTCGAACTTTCTCGAAAAGCACCGAGTTCACGGCCAGGACAAGTTTACGGCCGTAAACTCGTGTACGGTCGTAAACCTGTTTGCGGTCAGTGCCAGGTGGACCTCACCACCGAACATACCCCCAGCCTATAAATACAGGACCCTCACCCTCATTTGAACCTTCTTGGTCGAAAACACCCTTCTTCTCTCTATAACTCTCTGGACCGTAAACACCATAAACCCCTCCTTTCTTCCAAAAACATCAGAAATCGTCATTTGGGGCCGTTTGAGAGCATCTAGAACACATTTTCGTCAAAATTGAGCACCTTTGTTTTGAGTTTACAACTGTAAACCCTTTCGCCAGACAGTTCACATCCGCAAATCCCGTTCTCGGCAGTAAACTCTGCTTACGGCCACAAACCAACTTCATGGCCGTAAACCCTCATTCACGGCTGTAAACACCTCTTTAATGGATAAAAGCCTGTTCCCTCGATTTGACCAACTTTCGGTAACATTCCTTAACCTAAAATGAGTGTTTTTCTAACACTTTATCTAACGAAATCGCTATTTTAGATACATATACGTATTTATTATTCTTAGGATTCCGTTAAGTTCCACGTGCATCGACTCAAGGATCTACCAGCTCAATCCTTTGCATTCAACCAATTGTGAGTTCATACCCCTATGTTTTTCTGATTTTTAAATGTTTTTAGTGGGGGGAATACAAGCCAAACACAACAATTTTCAACAAGTCATACTTATACAATTATATCAACCAACGAGTTTCATAAAATATTTAGATATTTTATCCCTTTTGTATCATGTGGAGCATAAAGGGGGGGGGGTTCTAAACATAATTGCATAATCTTCAGAACCATTCATGAACACAATACATCAGTCACACTATAATAGGTATAGTTTGGAGAATTCATTACCAGTTTTACCAATACCT